GGGGAGCAGAACCGGCAGAAGGACTGAAACACACTGCTGAGGGGAGCAGCGGGTGAGACAGGAGAGGTCTGTCACGCCATGTGGGTAGCTCCCTGCCCGGGGATCGAACTCGCGCTGCAGTGGCTGCGGACAGCTTCATAGGGCTGAGCCTTAACCCCTGTGCCACCAGGGAGGCCCCCGCGTGGTCCTTACAGGCGGAAGTTCTTACCCTGAAACCTGGCCCTGCCCCTCCCTAGCAGGGCGGTCCTGGCTTCCCCTTCTGGGCCTCAGTGTCCTCATCTGCAAAGTGGGGGTAGCGGCACTCACCCTGTAGGGGCACAGTGAGCTTGAATTATCAGGACAAGGGCTCCCGAGGCAGGACGGGCACTGGTCCTGCAAATTTAGGGGACATCCACATCCGCTGGGGAGCTTGACAGAGGGGAAGCCAGGGGGCCCTGTGCCAGGAGCACGCCCAGTGTGGCTGTGGGCTGGGATGAGCTTCCCCCGTCAGCACCTGCACTATCACACCTGGACAAATGGCTGCCCAGGGACAGGTACCCCTGCAAGTCCCCCCTTTCTCCTCCTTAAGTGGAGGAGGAAAGTAGGAACTGCCTTCTTAAGTCGGTCACCCCGCACTGTGAATACACAGGGCCCTGGGGCTGGGGTGTGGATTTCCCCGACCTGGGTTCAGTGGGCACTTGGGGTGGTGACATGTGTCCAGTGGAACAGGGGGTGGATTGAGCTGATTTTGACAAGGCCCCGCTCTCTCCCCTTATCATTCTTCAAGGCAGCTGGTGTGCACGCGTGTGTGTGTGTGTGTGTGTGTCTGGGGAACAGAGGGGTGGGTGCTGAACCCCGACCTAGACTTCTCTGCCTTGACTGCGGGTTGAATGACATCCCGCCAATGTGGGTAAAGTGCCATCAAGGGCTCATTTCACAGTGGAGCCAGCTGAGGCTCAGGACAGGGATGCGGGAACGTCAGGCCGTGTCCTCACCCCTGCACCCTTGCTCTGTTCGGCCCCTGGGACTTCTGCTTCCATCACTCCTTGCTTGGAAATACACAGACCGTGGGGATGGACCGTGACCCCAGAGATCCACACCCCTCCTGGGACCTAGCTCGGAAGCCTCCCTCGGGGAACTGATAGGGCTCCCTGGGGTGTCCCAGCAGCCCCTGACCCAGGGCGGGCTTCTCCCACTCTTGGTGCGTCCAAGCTGAGCTGTGGGCATGCGCGTGGCTCTGTAGACACACGCACACGCATGCGCACAGGATATGACGAGGGTGGGGGTGTGTGGCCACAGGGGCTAGCCAGGTGGGCTCAAAGCAGGTATGTTGACACGCATGTGTGCTTGTGTGCACGTGCATATCTGTGCCAGGGCATCCTGTGGCCAGTCCATGCATGTGTGAGTGCTAATGTGCATGTGTGTGCATGTGCCCAGCTGTGCACAGGAGGGTGGGGTGTGTCATTACGTACCGCCACCCGTGTGTGCAGGCGCAGGTGTGTCCATGTGGCTGATGAGTGTGTCCATGTGCCTGTGCACACGTCTGCACGGGCTGATGTTTCTGTGTGTGCATGTATTTGCATGTGTGAACATGCACGCGTGTGAGCACCTCTGTCTGCCTGTATGCGTGTGTGCGCACGTGGAAGATGGTGTTGGGGTGTAGCCTAGTGAGCTCTCCTCCTGCAGCCCCCCCACTGCCCCCACGATGCACAGAGTCCTGACACCTCTGGCTTTAAGCTTCTCTCCTGGGCAGGTGGCAGGGGTGGGGAGCTGTGGGTGACCTGGTACACGGATGAGGGGGTTCTCCCATGTCTTTCATGTCCCCTCCTCCTTCTCCCAGTTCCCCTGCCTCCCTCCTCTTTCTTCCCCTCCTCCCCTCCCTCTGCTTCTCCCCCTGCTCCTGTCTGGCTCCTGGGGGACCCTCCTTTCTTCCCTCCTCCTGGCCTCGCTCCAGGCCGTGTTCTAAGTGAGACTTTCTGCAAAAATCACAAGTGCCCAGAAAACATTTGGGGACCTGGCAGAGACGGGCATCTGGCAAATTCTCTTCTGGCCTCTAACCCCTGACGGTCGGGGCTCCGTGGGGCCAGAACACACCCCGTACATCTGCAGGCTCCAGACCCGGCTCTGCCAGCCCTCAGCTCAGTGACCTTGGGACAGTCCCTTGACCTCTGCGAACATCCTAACGGGGCACTAATACCCGCCCTGATACAAATCCAGGGCCTTAGCTGCAAGGTGGCCAACGGCACAGCAGTAGATTGGTGAGAGAAGAAAACACCCAAAAGATGTCCCTCCAATCAAAGGAAACTTCAGCCATCAGCACCGCGGCTCGCAGCCCCGGCTCTGATCCATTTGTGAATCTGGAAGGCGCTGTGGAGTGAACCAGAACCAGTGCCCACAGGGGTTAGCGGGGGGAGGAAAGTCTGGAAGGAAATGCACCAACTACGCGAGCACAGTGCCTGAGATTCTGGGCGATGACGCCTTCTTCCTTTTGTTTATCTGAAATTTCTACATTTCCCACAACAAGCAAGACACATTTGTCTGAGGAGGATAAATGTGCTGTAAGGGAGGAAAAAATAAAGGCAAGCCACCTTGCGTCATTCTTGTGAAGTTCACACAAAAGAGGGACAGATGAGGAGACTCAGTGCGTGCCTTTCCACGGCGGGCTGCTCCCTCCTCCCAGCCTCCCCCCCCCTCCTTCCCCTGGGAGCACTGAACTGGGCAAGCCCCCCCCCAACTAAGCAGGGGTAAACAGGGGCTCAGCTGCATTCCAGGGGTTCTTCTATTTATTTTTATCTCCCACATCTGCTTTTCTAATCCAGATGCGACTGAGCTGGAAGAGCATGTAGGAAACAGACCCTTCAATTCTCACCTTTGTGAGTAGGGAAACTGAGGCAGAGAGGAGGGCCCTATCTTCAGGTGGTGGCCTTAGGTCTCTGAAGGACCTGAGGACTCTTGCCGGGTGCTGACTTACCCAGTGACAGCGAGCACCCCCTAAGGATTGCAGGGCACAGCAGCCCTGCTCCCCAGGGTACTTCCGCCCTAATACAGCCTCGCAGATATTAGCACAGCTTACTGGCCTGGGCTTCTTTTCTGATTTTTGCTACCTGGAACGTGATACAGAGAGAAGCTGTAATAGACCCCACCCCAACATACTGAGGACAAACAAATCACGCATTCATTCACTCATCTGATATTTTGAAGGCCTACTATGGGCCAGGAAGGCTGGGGCTAGATAGAGTTTTTACAGAATGAGTGACCCCTGCCATGGCCTGGGAGTAATCCAGAGAGCGCCCCCTCTTGAGAGGAGAGGTCTGTGCACCCATCAAGTCTGCCTTACATCAGAGACAAGAACCAGGGGATGCTCACCACTCATTGCCAGGGAAATGCAAATCAAACCCACATCCAGGTGTCACCTGACTCCTGGGAGGATGGTTCATGTCAGGAAGACTGGAAATGAGTGTTGGTGAGGGAGTGGAGACAAAGCAACTCCTGTATGCTGTTGGTGAGCATATAAATGGATGCTGCCTCTATGGTATGGAGACTCCTAAAAAAACAGAAAAATGGAAATACCATCTGATACAGCTATCCCATGTTGAGAACATGGGCACACTAGCATGAAAAGATTTGCACACCCCATGTTCACAGCAGCCTTATTAACAATGGCCAAGATGTGGAACCAACCTAAATGCCATTGACAGACACCTGGATAAGAAATGGTGGTGTATATACTCTGTGGAATATTACTCAGTTGTTAAAAATGATAAATGGTACCTTTTGGGACAAAAATGGATGGATCTTGAGGTGATGATGTTCAGTGAAATGTCAGGAAGTGAAAGACCTTACAGGACGCTTTCACTCATATGTGGAACATAAATAACCAAAGAAAACAAACTGGTAAAACCAACAAAAATAACTCTTAGGCTCTGTGAATGCGATGGGGGTTCCGTGGGAAGGGAGGTGAACTGGGGAGTAAGGGGGTGGGGCAGTGGCCCTGGAGCTCTGGTGGGTGAGTGAAGCACGGGTCCATGTTAAGGCGTGAACCTGTACTCCCCCAATGGTGTACTCCCCCAATGGTGTGCTCCCCCAATAGTGTGCTCCCCCAATGGTGTGCTTTTGTAAGAAGATGACCAATAAATAAAATCTCAATTAAAAAAAAGAGAGCTAAGAAAAAGTTTGTCCACCCTTGAGTGACTATGAAGGCAGGGACAAAAAATGAAACCACACAGCGCAGAGGGAAAAAGAATTTTTTTATTAATCTTTTCTTTTTAAAAAAAGTTGATTTTTTGTTTTTTGTTTTTTTTAGGTAAACCTCTTTCTGCCTCCCCCCTCACTCTGCCCACCCACCTCTTAAAAATATAAAAATGTCCAACCCCAGATAACTAGAGTACAATAAATAAACAGTAAACACAAAAACATACTTTATTTGTTTCTTCTTTATACAAAATAAGGAAACTAGAAGCGTTCAACTTCCAAAAAAGTATAATACTGTACACCTGACTGCCTGGCGGCCAGGCCCAGGCCGGGAGTGGGATCTGGGGGACCAGAGCCCAGACACCTTGGCGCCTTGCCCGGGGGAGAGCAGGGTGGGCGAGTGTTCGAGTCTGGCCTGGATCCCCTATCTCCAAGTAAATGTCAACGTAAGAAAGGGGGGTCTGGCCCTGGCCAAGTCCTGCAGGAACCCCTGTTCTTGGAAAAGCTGACCTTGAGCCTCAAGATTGGCCACCAGGGGGCGCCAACGCGCAGGTGGCTCCGTCCTCCCCGGGCCCCCTAGTGAAGCGTGTCCCGGGCGCGCTCCATCTTCTCTCCCCCACATCCTGCTCCCTCTCCTCGCTCCCCTTCAATCTGTTTTTCTTATCACCTTTTTCTTTTAAGATGGGGAAAGCAGAGTGGGAAATAAGATTACAAAATACCACTCGGATTGCAGAGAGGGGAGGAAAAAAATGGCCTTCCCCGCCCCCCTGGGCCTCCACCCTCTGTGGGTCCAAAGAGGGGGCGCTGGGCGGGGGGCTGGGAAGTCTGGAGCGGGCTCGAAATTGCTTGACCCTCGGAGGATTGACTTTGGTCCCAATAAATTGCTCGCGGCGGCCGGGAGAGCGCGGGCCGCGGGCTGGGCGTCTGCAGAGCCTGCGGGTGGAGGTGGCGCGCGGGCCCCCTCCGTGCCCAGCCGAGGAGCCGCCGCCGGTTGAGTGCGGACCCGAGAGGGAACCCCTGAGGGAGCCCCGGGCCGCGTCCACCTCGGGCGTTTTGGTTTCGGGAGGCTGCGTCCAGGAGGCGGCCGGGCCGGGGCCTTACCACACGGCGGCCTCGTTGAGCTCGGGGTTGGGGTGCGCCAGGGGTCCGCTGTAGCCGCTGGAGCCGCCCATGGGGAAGGGCGGGCTGGGTCCGCCGCTGAACACCTCTCCGGGCAGGGGGTGCAGCGCGCCGGGCAGGCCCGGCTCGGGGCTCGGCGTGTCTGGGTGCGAGATCATGTCGGTGAAGCGCGGGTTGTCGGCGGCGTGCGGGCCGGCGAGCGGCGGCTCCAGCGCGCCCAGCGGCGTCGAGCCGGGCCCGGACGCCGCCAGGAAGCTCGAGTCGGCGGGGGACTGCGCCTGCGACGGCGGGCCGTGCGCGAAGAAGTCGTAGTTCCCTCCCGGCGCGTAGTAGTCGCCCTGGTAGTCTGCGGGAGGGCGGGGGGAGACGCACAGGTGAGCGGGGGCGCGGCCGAGGGGCGCGCGGGGCTGGGGCGCGGCCCGGGGACCCGGGCCCGAGGGGCCGGCGCGGCCGGCGGGGCGCAGAGACCGCGCGGCGCCGGCCCGGCGACTCCAGGCCAGGGAGGGGCCCGGAGAGGCGGCCCCCCCCCCGAGCCGAGGGGTCTCCGCGGCGGTGGAGGGCGCGGGGCGCGTCGGGGAGCGAGACAATGAGGCGGGCGGACGCGGGAGAGACTCGGCCCCGGGCCCCGCGAGAGACAATAAGGGCCAGAGAAAGGTGCCAGGATGTCAGAGGCCGCCCGGGACAGAGGTGCGGCCGGGCAGGGACGCAGAGACACGGCGCCCCCGCGCCTGTGGGGGACGGAGAGCAGAGACCGCCCAACGGGGAGAGACTGGCCCGTGCGGGCGCAGCAGAAAACCGTCCAAGGGGCGTCCCCAGGCCGGGAGACACGCAGAGGCGGGACACCCTTGGCCGCGGGACAGACAGTCTGGGAGACGCGAACAGAGCGCGCTGGGCGGCCGCGCCGGAGGACCCCGGGCCGGCCTGCGGGGGACCCGGGAAGGACGCAGGGAGGGCGACGCGCGACCAGACCCGGGCGCGGAGTGGGGAGCCCCGCGATCGCGCGCCGGAGGAGCCCGGCTCCCGCGCAGCCCCAGCGCAGGGAACGCGGCCGCGCGCGCAAGGTGGCCTCAGCGCCCACGCGCGCTCCCCGCCCCGCGGACACCAGCCGCGGCTCCCCGCTCCGCTGAGCGCAGCCGCGAGCCCCCCAGGGTGGAAGCCGGGGGTCCCGCCGCGGGTGCCGCCGCCCGCTGGGCTGCAACGGGTGAAGCTGAGCCCCAGCGACTTGGGCGTGCGGGAGGAGGTCCCCGACATCAGCAGGGGCGCGCCCCAGTTCCACCGGCACGTCGGGGTCAAGGCTGATTCGCGGGTCTCACCGGGAAGGGAGGGGGGTTTGCCGGACCCTCAGGTTCTCAAGCATTTGGGTGCTTTGAACCTTTTTGAGAAATCCGGTGAAAGTTCCGGGGCTCTCCAGAGACATGCACAGGCGCGCGTCCGGCCCACGAAAGGGGAAGCGGGTGAGGGAGGGACTCTGTGGGCTCCAGACATAGCTCTCCACAAATTGTGTTTCCCCGCCACCCCCGGCCTCCTCCCCTGGCCGCCTCCCCTAGGTTTTCGGAGAAGCTGCTCCCTCTCCACGCTCCTTGGACTCTGGAGGATTGGGGTGTGGGACCCCACAAAAGGAGCATGCTGGGGCTGGCACCGCTGACAACACCCGCTTTATAAGGCGGAAAACCAGCGCTCCCCAGGCCCGATTTCCTCTGCGAATCTACGCGCCCTGCTCAGTCTCGGGCTGTCACCCGGCGAGTTGCGGGGACCCCCTGCCGCGGCGGCTCTTCCCTCTCCAAATCCTGAAATTAGTCCCAATGGGGGTGTCTGGGGGCGCGGCTTGGAGACAGTTTATGCGGGCAGGTGAAAATACCGCCGGATGTTAAAAGCCACTCATTCCTTTCTCCCCGAAAATGAAGGGCAGGATTGCAAGTGGCAAATTCGGGGCCCCTGAGGGCTCGGGGTGGGGGCCGGTCGCGGGCCGCCGCGAGCCGACCAGCCAGCGAGGGCCGCGGCCCCCGCGCGCAGCGCGCCGCCTCCGCCCATATGGCGGCCAGGCCGGAGGTAATTGGAACAAACGCCGTCTGAAAAGGGCACAAAAGCCGCAGCTGGGGCTTTGTCCGCGCTCCCATGGGGAGCCGCCGGCCCCGCCGCCCGGCCCCTTTCTCGCCCGCCGCCGGCCGCCGACGCCGGGGTCTCCCAGCGCGGATTAGGCGGGGCTGCTTCGCAGGGATTGGGGGTCCTGCCCCCCCATTCCGGGAAAAGAGGGACCGGCGTGTCCAGACCCCCACCCCATCCAGCAGACGTGAGGGTAGAGAAGGCAGCGGCCGGGTGGCGGCCCCCAGGTCTTGGGGAAACCTGGTTGATGACCCAGGCGGGGAAAACTCCGGAGCAGCAGCGCGGGCCGAGGAGACCCGGTGCCGGCGGCGCAGAGAGGGGTGGAGAGCGTCGTGGGTGCAGATGGCAGCCCCGGCCACCCTCCGTGCTGTCTGTAGCCGCCAACCTGGGCCCGGCCATCACAGGGTCTGTGCCCCCAAAGCGCACAAGCACTTTTAGTACGCAGTTTCTGGGGGTCCGCCTGGAGCCCCGGCCTCCCAGGCCTGAGCTGAGCTGACGCCAGCTGCCGGGCCTTCCTCCTGGTCCGCCTGGGCGCGGGCTCCTGGCCCAGACCCGCCTCTCACGGACAAGTCACCAGTTCCCAGCTGGGTTGCTTTCTCCCCACCGGCAGGTGGACAGGTTCCCCCTCTCCGGGGCACTTCCCAAATCCAGAAGCTCAGGAATGAAGTGGGGGTGGGGGGGGGCGGGTGTTTCTCTGAGCCTGAAGCTTTGGGAAGCGTCCGAGGTGCCCGCAAGGGAGGGCCTCAGGGCTCCCTCCAGAGCAATGAGATCCCACATAAATAAAAATTTAAAAGCCAGGAAACCAACCAACCATCCAACCAACCAAGCAACCGGGTGGTGCTGGTGCCATCAGCAAGTGCGGGGGAAATGGCGGGTGCAGGCAGGGAGGGAAAGAGCGGGGAAGGAGCTCGTGATCAAGAGGGCAGTGCAGCCCAGGCCTGAGCCTGGTCACCCCAAATGTGAAATTCCTTTTCGCAAGCCACTGATCATTTTAAAAACCACTCATTCCCCACCGCGGTTCTCCAGCCCCGTGCAGAAAACAGGCGCCACCCATCCCGCACTCCAGCCCCAGCAGCCCCGACGTGCTTGGGCTGAAGGGTGGGCAGGAGTCCTGTGCGGTGCGGAGCTAGTGCTGGCATCAGCCGAGTAGTGCCAGGGCTGGGGCATTGCCCCTGCTGAGGAGCAGAGTTGCTGGCTTGGAAGCAGGCTGCCCACCGTGCTGCCCCTCACCCCCACCTCCTGCACTGCCCTCTGGGGCCAGAGTTCCTGTTGGTGGCACGCACATGCGGCCAGGAGCCGGGCGGCAAGCAGTGTGTCCATTTGGGGCCCTGTGTCGAGGATTTAAACCTTGGCCTGTCGCGCAGGGGTGTGTGCTGGTGAACCCCTGTTTCTGCAGGTATGTGGGTCAGTGCGTACGTAGCTGGGGTGGAGTAGCCCTGGAGTGGTGGTGTGTGATCATGTGCGCAGAGCTGTCCCTGAGGCCTCTGGACTCAAGCGAGTGTGGGAGCGGGCCCGGGTGTCCCCCAGGGGTGCGCCTGTGCCCCTGTGCGTCGGGCGCGTGTATCACTGCAAGCAGGACTCGACCTGTGTGTGTGATTTTGCGTCCAGGGGGTCCCCCTGGGTTGGTGTGCCTGTTGATGTGTGTCCCTGACTGTGCGCGTCCAGGGTGAGGAAAAGGGAGGAAGCGCGCGGGGGCCCCTCAGCCGCCTGGAGGCGCGATCAAGGCACGGACGCCCCGTCTGGCGACCCCTTACCTCCGTAGTAGGTGTACGGGGTGGACCCCAGCATCTCGGACTCGTCCAAGCGGCCGCCCAGCGGACGCATGCGCCGTGGACTCCGGAAGAAGGCGTGTCTCCGGGCGCCCAGCGCGCTCAGCTGCTTCATCCGGCGCTCTTTGGACCGTCGGTTCTGGAACCACACCTGGGACAGAGGAGGGGGCAGTGAGCCCGGTTCCGAGGCGCCCTCCCTTCCCCGCGCGGGCCGCCCTCTGGGTCCTAGCGCCTCCTCGCGCCGACACCGCCCCGAGGCGGGGGCCGGCCCGGATTAGGCCCGGAGGGGCGGAGGGGGGCGCGCGAAGCAGCCAAGGGTGAAGGATTTCGCGGACCCGTGGGGCGACTCATAAAGACTTGGGGCTTCCTGGCCCTCGGCCCTCCCGCGCCTGACGGCTTCATAAAGGCCTCCCGCCCGGCCTGGCTCTCGCCTCGGCCCCTCGGACCCCAGCCCGGCTCTGCCCGCTTTTCTGTGTCCGCGGCGCCGGGCACCGCGCAGGGGGAGGCGCGGGAAGAGCCGCCTCTTTCAGTGCTCGGGGGATGGAGGGAGGGTCCTGTGTCCCGGCGGCTTAACACCCTCCTTGGACGGGGCGGGATCCAGAGAGGGGAGGCCCCGGGCCGAGCTCTCCAGCTCTCCAGCCCGAAGCTCTGCGCGCGGAGTCGGGCCCCGATCCCGGGCGCGCCACGGCCTCCCGAGCTGCGCTCCCCCGCGCCTCGGCCGGGAAGCGGCCTGGGCGGCCCGGGCGCGGGCTGCGGGCGGGGAGGGGTGCCCCGGGGCCGCCCCGCACCTGGATGACGCGCATGTTGAGGCCGGTCTCTTGCGCCAGCTGCTCGCGGATGTGGCGCGTGGGCTTGGGCGTGGCGGCGAAGGCGGCCTTGAGCGTCTCCAGCTGCTTGGCCTTGATGGTGGTGCGCGGCCCGCGCCGCTTGGTGCCCGAGTTCTGCTCCTCATTCTCGTTGTTGGCCGTCTCCTTGTCCGACGACGTCGAGTTGTCCGTCTCCTTGGGGTCGTCCTGGAGCGGGTCCTGGAGGTCCGGGGACAAACTGCGGTCGGTGCAGGAGGACACTGCGGGCGGACGGAGCGGGAAGGGGACAGCGGCGTCAGCGGCAGCCGTGGGGGGCCTCTCCAATCCGGGAGCCGGTTTCCACCGGCCCAGGGCACCTCCACCCCCTCGGGATTCCCTCCCAGACCCGGCGACAGCCCCTCCCCCGGGGGCCCGGCGCCCGCCCACTCCCTCCAGGCGGGGCTGGGCTTTTGGAGGGGCTCTGAGCCCTCTCAGCGCTTCTCAGCGACTGCCCGGGTGCGGGGGAGGCAGGATCCTTGGAGAGCCCGGCCTTCTTGGAGAGGGGCAGGAGAGGACTGACACCGTCCGGGCTGTGCATGTTCTTCCTTCTCTGAATTCCGGGAACTCGAGAGAAGGAGAATTTGTGACGGCCCAAATGGGGGGCACTTGGAAAAGGCTCTTGAATGGAAGGAGCGTGTGCAAGAGCTGGCAGTGGGGAAAGCGGTGTGACTGGCCTCGGGGCCATCTCTCTTCCCAGCCCTTGGCCGGCTTTGCCCTAGGACTGCCCAACGGCAGCGCAGGGTGGAGAGGGCCCTCTGGCCAGGGTGGCAGAGCACTGGGGCCGGGGCTGGAGAGGGCTGAGACCTCCATACCTGAGTTGAGGCTCCCTTCCTTGAGGCTGGACGAGCTCAGGTAGTCGTCCTTGCACACGAACTTGTTCTCGTCAATGACGTAGAGCTCCTCGCCCGTGGACAGCTGCTTGTTGCACACCATGCAGGTGAAGCAGTTGAGATGGAAGACTTTACTGCGGGCCTTGCGCACCAGGTCGCTGGGCGAGATGCCCTGTGCACAGCCCGCGCACTTCGTGCCAAAGCGCCTGCAGACACAACACGGCCAGTCACCTTGGGGCAGCCTGGCGTCGCATCCCTCTTGAGCCCCTGACCTCTTTCCTCCTGCCCTAGCTTCTGAGACGCCTCCATTTCCACATCTGTCAAGCGAGCCCCCAGTCCTGTTCTCCCAGGTCAGGGCGCAAGAGGCCAGTGTGGGGGGCCGTTCTTGGGACCTGGACCTTCATGCTTTATTTGTTTGTTTGTTTGTTTTGACTCTGCCAATCTTCTAGCAACTGGCATAGCCTTCAGACAAGCAGAGGGCCTAGAGCACCCCCAGAGAGGCTCCCCACACCCCTACATCCCTGCCAGATGTGCCTGGGCCCTTGGCGCTCCGGGTCACAAAGGATTGTAAGCCAGGGAGGTGGATCTGGGCCACTTCTTGGTTCTGCCTCCTGGGTCCTTTCCAGGCTTCTGGGGCCCAGGTAGGGTCAGTTGGCCTGGTTGGCTGGTCCTAGCAATGGAGCAGGGAGCCCCTCATCCTGTACAGGGCTTGGGAGGGAAGGAGGGACCTTTTTGTTCACTCCAGCCCCCACAGCCACCAGGAGGGATTTCCAGTCCCCTTCACTCCGGGACCCCCTGGAGCTAGTCAGCAGGCAGTGGACAGTAGCATCTCAGAGCTGGGACTCTGGACAGCAGGGACTGAGTCTGCAGCACCCCAGAATCCCTGGCTCTTGCAGGCAGCAAGAGAATGTGAGCACAAGGCAACCCTAACCCCAGTACTGCCAGGACACGGGATCTCGGGATCTCGCAAATCCTCCCTTCCCTGAATTCCTGCTCTAATTCCTTCTCTTCTCTTCCTTGAATGCTGGCGAAGGCTGGCCTCCCCCAGATGGGTGATGCAGACTGGCACCAGGAGGGCCGAGGCACGGGCTGGTGGGGGGCAGAGATTGAGGGCCCAGGACTTGGAGGGGGGCCACATCTACTTACACCCACATCTCTAAACAGGGTGAATTTGGGTGACATTGATGTAGTGAGGGCATTAGAAGCCATAAGTCACTTTTGGCCTTATCCGGCAGCGTAATTGCCATATGCACCTTATCAAAAATCATTAGGCACTTTGCAAGCCCCGCCACATTAGGTGCCGAGGGCCTCCCGGGCCGGGGAGTTTACACGTGTAAAGGCGAGGCTGACATTTTCTCCTATTCAAATTCCCTGGTGCCAAGCCTCTGGGGCGGGCGAGCAGCCTTTCTCTCCCTGGTGTTAATCACACCCCCTTCCTCTGAGCCGTTATTCGCACTCACAAAGCCAGCCCTGGGCAACCGGCACTGCTGGCAGGGCTGAGCTTTGGAAAGCCATCCCCGGCCTTTCCCAGCTGGGGAAACTGAGGCCCTGAGGAGTGATTTGCCTTAGCCCACCTGAGGGGCCCCTGAGAGCAGCCTGAGGGAGGCACCACCGCTCAGGCCAGACCCGGGAGGTCCTGGTTCTGAGTTCTGATTTCATTTGCACTTTTCAACCCGGGAGGAAATGTTCTAAGAAGTTGGGGGTGGTGAGCAGGAGAAGGACCCTGCCCGTCATCATTAGAGGAAACCTTCCTGGACCAACTCCCTATGGAGCTGGGAAGTTTCTGTCTGTCCAGGAGGATTCTGGGGCAAGCCTGGAAGAGCCTCCAGCCACCCCGAACTTTGGCAAAATTCCTTCATCTCAGAACCAGGCTTGCAGCTTCCACTCTGGGGACCGAGCCGAGATGGGTGGAGAGCAAGTTTGTCCGCGCTTTCTCCTGGGCCTCACCGCCGCTCCAGGCCGACCCGGAGGAACCGACGTGAGCCCGGGAACCGCGTCCTTCTGACTCCGCCGGGGCTCGAGCCCTTTTCCGGGGGCGAGGAGGGAAGAGAGCAGGGGCCTGGCCCGCTCCCCATTCATGCTTGCGGGCCCGAGGGTGGGTTTCGTGGTGCGCCCAGCCCTGGCACCCTGCGGGGCGCGCCGCGGGCCGGCGCGCCAAGGCCTCTTACCTGAAGAAGTCATTCTTGCAGTAGAGCTTGCCCTCGCGCGAGAAGCACTTCTCCGAGAGGTTGGTCTTGCACTCGCAGCACTGCACGCATTTGATGTGCCACGCGCGGTCCAGCACGTTCAGCAGGAAGCGGTCGAGGATGGGCCGCTCGCAGCCGGCACAGTGCACCATCATAGCCCCGCGTCCCGGCGGCTCCGGCCGCCCGGCCCTCCCTTCGGGCCCCCGGCCCTCGGGCCCCCGGGCCGCGCCGCCGCGCCCCGCCTCGCGTCTCGGCCGCCGCCGGGCGAGTCCGGCGCGCACCCAGACCCAGCCGGTCAAGTCCTCGGGCGATCGCGGGCCTGGCGCGGGGTGCCCGGGGCGGGGTGCTGGGGTGGCGGCGTTCACAGCCTCATGCCCGGGACCGCGCGCCCCAGCGCTCGCTCCGGGCTCCCCCAGGGGTCTCGGGTGGCCGCCGGCCTCGGCGCTGCGGAGCGGCTCTCCCCGGTGGCGGAGGCGCCGGCACTTTCCCCCACTTTCAAGCGGTCCCGATCCTCATCTTTGTCTGGCCGCCGCCTAATTCGCGCATCCTTATTCAGATTTGGTGACGTGGCGCGGCACGTAGGGGGCCCGGCGGCCAATGGGCGCGCGGTGGCCATGGCAACCTCTTAAATTTATAGCATATCTAAATTGGCTACAGCGTTGCGGTCCGGACAGAGCAAAAAAAACAAGGCATCAGTATTGTTGAGTATTAGCCCGTACCTGGTTCCGAGGCTAAGTAAGTATTTACCTTCCAGGCTGGGGGCAGGGGCTGCGGGCCGCGCGACCCGAAACCGGCGTCTCTCGTCTCTCTCCTGCTCGCAAATATTTGGGGTCAGGGTTCCAAGGCCTGGTGGGGGGAGGGTCCCCTGCCCCCGGCGCCATCCCCGGAACTTGCAGAAGTTGCCGGAGGCGCGGAGCGTGCTCCACCTCCGCCTCTTCCCCAGCCCAGCCGGTCCAGATCGGTTCCCCCACCCGGGCACCCCTGGGGTCTGCGCCCCCCGAGCCGCGGCAGCGCTGTTCTCAGGGCTCCCGGCGGAGCCAGCCCCGCTTCTTTTGTCATACACGAGGCTGGGGCCCCGGCCGGGCCTTTCTCATGGAGAGAGAGTGTGAAGGCCACGGCTTGGGGGTTTCCGCGTGCAGGCCCCAGCCGGCTTGGGGGCGGTGTCATCTGGCCAGTTCTGGGACCCAGAGTTTCAGGCCTGTGCGCACTGCCCCAGAGGCTCTGGGGGAGATCTGGGGAAAGGAAGGTCGGGGATGGGATCCACCGGGCTTCACTGAGCCAGCTCGGAGGTGGCGCTCAGCACACCTCTCCTGGCAGTGCCCCTTCCAGTGCCCGGGTCTGCCAGTTGGGACCCGGCAGGGTGCGGAATACTGCAGCTGGCCTGGGCACTGTTTGCACACGGGGTGGAGGGGAGCGGACTGTGAAGGCAAGTTCCATCCCTCCCTGCCACCCCACGGGGAAGCAGGGCATAGGGGGAGCAGCTCTGTGAGGCCGGAGGGGGTGGGGGGTGCTGGCAGGTGTGTGTGGAGAGAGGGGGATGAACTGGGGGAGGAGGGAGCAGTCAGGCCTCCCTTCCCAAGGGGCAATCCTTTGACTCCAGCTGGGCGCTCCCTGTTCTGGAGCTGGGGAGGCGCAGGCAGTGGAGGTTTCCCTTCCCGCTGCAGGAGGGCTGGCGGGGCCCTGGGATGGGGGGGGGCAGAGCGGGAGCAGCCTGGGGTGTTGGTGCCCGTGGACGTGTGTTTCGTGCATTTACTGAGCTTGGCAGTGCCTGTCTGTTGTTTGAGAATTGAGTTTTGGTCCCTTAATAGCAATCAACCCTTGAGTGCATTTTGCTATTTTTTTTTTTTTTGCGTGTGCATTTGTGTGTTTGTGTGTAGCTCTGCTAACGTCTGTGTATCAGTCTGTGTTCTCTGGGTTTTGTTGGTCTGTGTACGTGTGTGCCTGTGCTTGCTTGCAGCCGTGTGGCTATGAGGTGTAATGTGTGCGTGTGCATCGATGTGAGATTATTTGTGTGTGCATGCCCTAACATCGATTGCAAGTGGACTTTTAAAAATCCAAAATGTGTGATTGTGTTTAGGGGAGCGTGTAGATGTGAGTTCTCTGGGTTGGGTGTGTTTGTAGGTGCAGGATTTTGTGGATCTGTTATTTGTGCACTAGTCACTCTGCGTGCCTGTCTGTGTGTGTGTATTTGTGAGGATTGAGGTACTTTTATGTTTATCTTGCAGGGATTTTTGGGGGGGATGTTTGTGTGTGTACTCCCAGTGGCACTTACTTTTATGGATTTGAGGGGGAGATGGGCTTGCGGATGCCTGTGTTGGGACATTTGCTGGAGGCTCGGAGCTGCTCCCTTCTGTCCAGGCCTAGGAGATCCCCAAAAGTCTTTAGGGGTGGCGATTTGAGTGGGGACTGGAAATGGACAGGTGCGGGTCAGTGGTGGGGCAGTGACCCACAACTGGGTCTCTGAAAAGGAGTCCCCATGTCGGGTGGCTTTTGCCTAAAGGTGCTTCACCCTCCAGCTTGCCGAGGCACAGGTGTCCACAGCAGTGATGCGGCTGCCGAGACTGGCTCAGCCCGGGCCAAGCAGGATGGAGCTCACCTGGCCTCCCAGGCTATCCCGGAGATCCAGCACCCTGCACGCACCAGTTTCGGGCAGTAGCCAGCCACCCCCGGCCCCCCTCTCCTAGGGCAGGAAGGGCTCTTGAGCCCCAGAGACTGACAGACCTGGACCCGAGGAGCCACTCCGGCTGCCTGCGCAGGGGAATTGCTGCCTACTCAGCCTTTGTCTCCCTGGGGGTTCTCTCTCCCCCACGTCCTCGTCCTCCTCACATTTGTTTGGCTTTCTGTCTCCCCCTCTCTTATGCTCAGCTGCTGCTCTCCCCGTTTGCCACCACTTTCTTCCTCTAGTTCCCTCTTTGTTTTTATCCCCCCCCCACTTGTCTGGGCTTCCAAAGTCCACATTTGGCCCAATGCTGCCATGAATGAACGCCATCGGGCACTGTACAGATTTTGGGGTAATGGGGGACTCATACACAGTCACCCCCAACCCCCATGGATGTCCTTCTCCCTGCTCTGCTTTAGGAACACCGAGGTCACTCTCTCCCCACCCCGTGGGCACCCAAAGAGCCTTTCCTCTGCCTCTTCCCAGCCAGGGGTTTACCCCGCTGGCTGCTACCGGGTCCCTGCATGTCGGGGTCCATCTGGGGCAAATCCATCTTCCCTCACCTCCAGAATGTGCGTCGCTACCAGTGCACAATGCATGGGTGACCTGCATTGTGGGGCCTGGCCAGGGAGGCAGCAGGAGCGAGGGGCAGTCTCCACGACCCAGAGGTGTGGGAAAGCTGGGGTGAGAGCTCCTTCCAGAAGCCCTGGTCTGGCCTTCAGGTTCCTGCCACTGAATGTGCCCGTCCAGTCCAGCCACAGCCCTGAAGTGGCCTGAAGGCCTGCGTGCAGCCCGGCCCCGCACCAGAAATCCCTCACCCCAGCCTGGCTGCAGGACCCTCCCTGGCTTTTGCCAGCCCTCCCCTTTCCAAGGCACACAGCAACCGAAAAGCAACGCCAGCAGACCAACTATTAGACGAATTTCCCCGCCCTAACAGCGCTAACAGATGGTGACCAGGCAGCGAAATCCCCTCCTATATGTAACTAATAAACCGCTTGTGTCTTAACAGGGTAATGCATGGAGATGCAATGTCACTTATACAAGATGTTGATGGAATTTACTATATAAAAATCTTCCTCCTAGAGTAAAGAGTATCAACATAACAACTCGACAGACGGCGGCGGGATAAGTAAAACAGACAAAAGACAAACAAGATAATAATCTGTTTCCAATCACTTAAGCCCTGTAGAGTTAGTAATACGCGGTTTGCATATTCCCCCTTGAATTCGGTAATTAATTACCGACGAGGAGGCACACACCGCCCCGGGTGGGAGTTTCCTTCCGCGCCGAGCTGGAGTTTGGGGGGAGCCTTCTGGACGTCTTCAGCCCGGGCCTCGCGGCAGCGGTCGGCCTGGGGACTCCGCCGCGCCTTTGGAGCGGACCTTCCGGAGAACATTTCAGTGTCTCTCTCGCCTCCTCGCCCCGAAACGCTCCTGCTTGGGGTGCTCTGGACAGCCAGGAAGGGGGGCTTTTCTGGCGGGTCTCTTGCCTCTCTGACGGCCCCCCTTCTTTTCGAGCGGCCTGCTTTCTCCGGGAGCGCGCGCGCCGGGGCCCCGGGAGGTGCCCGCTTCGTCCTCTTCTTCCTAGGAATCTCGGGCCGCGCAGCCGGTCCTCTCCCGACTTCGATCATTACCTCCCCTCCTCCAAACACGCACACTCCGCACCCCCCCACAGCCCCCCAAGAGCCGGCGCGGCTTTAACATTAAACAAACGCAGCGAGCGCCTCAGAGCTGAGCTCTCGCCGGCCTGCGCGCGGCGGCGGCGTTACAAATTGTAAATTTAAATTGCTCGCCGGATTCATTACCTCCCCTCTTTGATTTCAGCCAGCCGTGAAAAATTATACTGGTGTACCACTGAGAAACTGTTTTGCCGCAAAGAACCCGCGTCTAATCACTGGCTTTCTCCCTCCGACAAAAGTGTAATTATTTTGTTTGGGGTGTAAATATAGGCCGCGCCGCGCACACACACTCAGCGCCCCGCCGCGCCCCCGCGCACTGCCCGCCGCCGCGAGGGAGCAGGGGCCGGGCGGAGGCTGGGCGGTGCCGCCCGGAGGCCCGTGGAGAGCGAGACCCCGCGGGCAGAGCCGCAAGCCTGGCGCCCAGTCCCTGCTCGCAGGAGCTCGGGGTCGCCCGAGCGCACCTCCGCGCCCCTCGCCCGCCTCCCCGCGCGCGCCCTGGCTGGGCTGGGTGGACAGCGGCCAGGGGCGGCGCGAGGGTGAGTGCGCGCGCGCCCGCCGGGGACGCCGAAGGGTTAGCCGAGGGGGGCCGTGGAGGGGGGCGTGGAGAGCGGTCGGCGGTCGCCAGCTGGGGGTAGCCCCGAGTGCAGGCGGGGCGCGTGTCGGGGCCTGGGCGTCCCGAGACTGCCGAGGCCCAGGGGAAACCTGGAAGGTAGGGGTAACTAATCGGCGGTGCCCCTCGCGCTTTTCCGTGGACTGCTTGCTTTCCAGAACCATCTCTGCGGGGCGTCGGGCCCTCCTGTCAGTTGAATCGTGCTGAGTAATTAACGGTCTTGTTAACTGGGCAGGGCGACCTGGAACGTTTAATCAAAACAGAAGGGAATCATCTTCCTTCCTTCCTTCCTTCCTTCCTTTCATTCAATAACCCCCCGGCCCCCCAAACTTCCCCCCCTCCTTAAGTCCTCCTGCCAGTACTTGAGAGGGACACTGAATCTGAACTCAACACTATTCCAATACCTGGGTGAACTTTAAGAGGGCTTCTGGGCAGGGGTGGCAGAGTAAGGCGACACTGTCCCGTCGTGGGGCTTTGGGACAGAAGCCTGTGCCACAAAGCAGTGGTCACCTTTAGCGGGTGGCACTGGGGTTGGGCTGGTGACCGTCTGCAGGGTCGCCCGAGGAACAGCCCAGGGCAGGCCCCACAGATGTGGGACCGGGAAGGTGGGCAGGGAAGTGGCTTTGGGACTTCAGGTTCCGGGAGGTTTGGCTGCAAATGAGTGCTTGCGCTTGCGAGCTGCTGGCCAGCTTAGACACCCAGAGCTGGGCGGAGCTTGGTGTCCTCTCTCTCTTTCTTGCAAACCCCCCTCCAGGAATGTGCTCCCAGAGGCCCCACT